ACACATTGAAATGTGTTGCCCTCCTCCCTCTCCTTCACCACCATAAAATCCTCTGGCAATGTAAAACAATGGGCTTCTTCCATTGTTAATTCGTCTGTTGGTCCCATTTTAATCTGCATGGTATAGCCACTCACTGTATTGACAGAGAGCACAATGATAAATGTGCCCATAGCAAGTGCATGGGCACTGGTTGGTGGCCTGTTTCTAGTCCTGTGAGAGAGTCACATTGAAGTGATTGCCACCACTAAACACAACATAAATAGTGGGCCTCGAGTTATCATGTTGGAACCCCTCTGGGATACTCCCCGAGCCATCGACACAATCCCTATATTGTTGCCTGGTGTGTATATACATCTGTAAAAGTAGCTGTAAGTTACTCCATTATTCAAAGAGGGCAACAGCAGCACTCCAGGTTGACTATATACTGGTGCAGTAGTGGAATGCTAGTTCCAATGTGTATCACTGTGGTGGTGCTCATAGTGCGAACTCGCTAGGCATATACTTCACCTATGCAACAATATAGGGATTGTGTCTATGTATCCCTATACCTCACAATGTACATGTATGGAAGCTATGACTTATTATGCCATCCCTATGATAAATACATGATCTTCAGTGCGTCTTTCGCTAGCTTCCAGTAGCCAGATCCTCTGCTCTCGTGCTCAATGGGCAGTTGCAGCAGTCGATGGATGGTCATGCTGCCAGTCCAGTGGACTGTGTTTCGCACTCCCACATCTTTGTTACAAGTGCACGGACAGTCTTGATCAGGAAAGACTTGCCCGTGCCTCCCACCCCGCTGACAAACATGTGCAGTGGTTTGAGGTCCGTACAACTGCACTGCTTTATCTCATGAGTCAGCTGGTGCTCGAGGAGAGATTTCACGTGTTCGTACACCCTAGCCTGGTCGGTGTTCAGTGACTGAACTAGTTCCTCCAGGGTAGGTCCGTCACTTTCATTGTTCTGGTGCAGGTCAAGCACGTCGTTTATGGCCGACGTTGCCTCACCTGCCACCTGAGGACCTTCGTCATCCTCAACTGGGCCAGGGTCTGCACCAACGTCTTCCTGCTGTGCTCTCCTGGCCTCATTGATCTTCTGCACACGCTCTCTAGCCATCAACATCCGTTGAAGCTTTTCAGAGTGTGTGTTGAGTGCATCGTTCTCTTCCAAGTGCCGTTCAAAAGCACTCTCGGCAGTCTCCCCCTCTTCAATGAGGTCTGCCACGTTGCGAAAGGGAACGAACAGGAGAAGGAGAGAGTAGAAGTAATTCTCACACTCGTTCTCCTTGGCGGCATCGTAAATCTTGTGGTGGGAAGAATGGGTTTGGTCCGTTCCCGGTAGACAGGATTCCCGTCCCCATCTACACCACATTTCTCTTACTCGGCGAATCATAGAGGCAGATTTCCTCCATGTCGTCTGGCCGTTTGGGATAGAAGTCGTCCACAAGATTCTCCTCGAAAGTGTCTGTGGAATCTGGATTCATCTCCCGAATCTCGACCAGCTTCGAGTGGTTTCTCAGCCGTCTATTTCTGTTCTGAGACAGGGACACATCGATCCACTTGATGGTCGTGGACTTTTCACACAGGTGGTCTCCAAGGAGAAGGTCACTGGCCTCGTAGAGACCACACTCCCTGGAGCGCAAGCTGTGGATACCAAAGGACCACAGCTTGCTGTAGATGGAGGAGTGAGAGGAGACCTCCTGCCAGAGGTCCTGCATGTTGCTCTTCTCTGCCTTGGTCACATAGCCCGTGACGTACTGGGCAATGGCCAGTGAGGACTCGCCAATGTAATGCAAGTCCATGTTAGACTTCCACAACATGAGGAGGAGAGGGTTGTAGTTGTTGATCCGTATCTCCTCAGGTGACCGTGCAAGATTGTAAATTTTCCTGTGGGACAGTTTCATGCACTCATCCACAGACAACAGATTGGCAGTCTCCCGTGTCTGTCTGGGGAACCCAAACCGACAGTGTGTGATGAAAGTGCTGCCAACTCTCTTCTTACGACGACAGTAGTTGTTGCACTTGTGGTACTGATACTTGGTAACCAGCCGGTGTAGCTCTGGGTTGCTGGCCTCCTCGGGTATGCGGCAGGTGGATCCACTGCAGTACCACGTCACCGTTGTCTTTGCCTGCTACGGGGGCACCCTCTATCCACAGGAGGATGTGGTAGTGTGGTGCTCCCCTAGCCTGATGCTCCTTCTTGTAGATGTGGTGAGCAACACTACCCAACACTTTTCCATTGAGGATCACAGTCCGGAAGAAATCGTGAAATTTGTGGGAAAATGTCCTGGAAACAGAGACTGGATCCTCTGTGCAAAGCTTCCCAATGGGATAGTGCTGTCGCTCACATTGTTCACTTTTCTGAGATACGTGGCTATCTCTAGGCTGTCGTATTCTGCACAGCTGAGGGTGAGGAAGAGAGTGGGTGGACCATACTCCCTCACCATGCAGAGAACCTCACTGCGGCGCAGATACCAGAACTGCTTCGAGCCACGGACACTCTGGAACACAGTGGATAGACTACCTTCAATGTGCTCGTCAGAGTTGGACACTCGATCCATATTCGCCGACTGCCATTGCATGCTGTCGTGTGCCCTTGACCAAGTTGCACACACCAGCTGCCAGTTGTCCCATCTCCTTCTGCCAGAGCAGATAAAACACGTACTGGTCGTCCTTGCGAAAACGACCGTCTTTGTGTAGCAGACGTGATTTCACGTATTCACTAGAAGACATCTTAACTTCACACTGGTGTCCCTCTCCAAACCTCCCACTCGGAAATAGAGTGGGAAAGTACATAACATCCGAATGCTGCAATTTGTTGCTCAGAGCATCCTCTTTGACATTGCTGAGCTTGTACTGGTCAGTATCGGGAACGTTTTGCTCCTTCTGGTCCAGTCGTCTGATGGTGTACGACTGGTAAGAGCTAACGTCGTCGTCACTCACCTTTTGCAGCATCGTACTGCTAGTGTCACTGACAGATTCAATGATATGACGTGCTGCATCATCTAGGATGGCTTCGTCGATATCTGCATACACCCAGTTGATGTCTTTCAGTTTCCTCAGAGTATCTCTGAGTGCACAGATATCGATGAGGCTCTGCCAAACCACTTTGTTGGTCTTGGACTTTGAGTTGACAATGATGTACAGCTCTGGGCTCGGAAGCCCAGTGACTGCACCATCAACTTTGTTGTTTACCTCTTCCAACGTCTTCACCGTCTTTTCGAGTGGGAGAGGTAAAAAAGAACATTGTCCCCTTTAGCGAGTTGTGGCTAGGGACTTTTCCCTGAGTATGTTCCCAGTCTATAAACAGCCTGAAACGATTTCGCCTTTTGAATCAGCTGCTTACTCAATGGATCCAGATTTTCCAGTTCTTTTGGAACTGCTTCAACTTCCAGCCCATTCAGAACACACCTGGACGGCAGCTTGTCCTGGTTCAGAATGGACCGGCAGTACTGACACACATATATAGTGTCTTACTTGTGGCTTCGGGATCCGACATGTACATGTATGCCCTGAGTACTTGCCACATGTTTGACATGAATTTTTTCGATTCAGAGAACTCAAAAGCAGTGAAATTTTTTCTCTGAAGTAGTCGCTCACAGCTGCAGCAGGCAAACTCTGGATCATCTGCTATTTTTTTTCTCTAGCTCTGCAATCATCTCCGCGTGCTGTACATGCAACACTGACTCAATGTCAGGCAGATTTGGCTTCTGAAGGTCAAATATGGGCTTGCTTTGTTTCACATCAGCGTGATTGTCTGTGCTATTGCCACTGAACAGCTTCGTGTAATCATAAATGCCACACAACAATGCAAGTGATGCAAACTTGCCTTCTCTAATTGCAGTGTCAATGCTGGCAATGAGCTTGTGGTAGCGAATAGCTTCATACAATGTTGTAAGAAAGCTTCGCAGCATAGGGTAGTGCGGCACTGCTGCTCTTAGAGTCCTCAACTTACTATCGCAGCCAGCAACAGTACACGTCAATGGATGACCGGCTAGGTCACGGCTGGTAGCTTTACATGTGAGTGACCATTCTGACACCCACTGTCTACAGCATCTAGACATTGCCGTAGTATGCGGATTGTTTCAAACATTGATTTCAAGTCAACAATGCACTGTTTTTCATCTGTTGTAGGAAGCTTGCACTCTGAAGTGCACTTCCATCTTGACGGTTGTTGGGTTTTGGGATCTCTTTCACCCATTTCCTGTGCAAGAACACACCTTACTTGCTCGTCCACAGGAATTGGAGTGGCTCGAGGTTCCCGAACCCAAATTTCCCTCTCAATGACATGCATCCCTTGCTCATCAACAGGAATGGGAGTTTTTTGATTTTGCCATTGGCATAACTCTGGTCGTAAAAGTACGGCTCTGATGATGCCATGTGGCAACAATTCCCAAATCATCGATTGAGATCGGTAACCTTCCTCACACATGCCAGAAAGTTACCAACACTCTCTTTTCTCTTTTTCAACGCTTTGCTCAGTACCTTTCGTACAGTAATGTTGTGAACAGCATTCTCCAGCTTACTAGCTTTGACCTTGATAGTACCTCTGTTGCTTGTGGCTTCAAAGGCACAGATAAGCTCTTTCGTAAGCTTTTTGGGAATAGCTTTTTTCATGATTTTCACATAGAGCTCTCTAAGAGTATGCTGCTTAGGCTCATGTAACAAGTATAGCTATACAGCTGGCGATTTTCTACTTTCTCTCTCTCATGTACTTCCTGGCACGAAACACCAGTCTTGCTGCTCTTTTAGACAGGCCAGATGTACTATAGTATGCAGCCAATTTGTCTAAGAGAAAATGGGAGTGGTTTTCTCAGTAGTATTTTTGCTTTGTGCTCTTTCGCTGCTCCTTGTTTTTCTCGTAATTTTCTCTTGCATTCTTTTTCTTACCCTCAGGGTTAGCTACAAAGCTATCCCTTTCCTTTTGGTTTCTAGCTTCAGGGTTAGCTTAGCTATCCCTTTTCTTTTGCGTTTTTGCTTCGGGGTTAGCTTTGTAGCCATCCCTTTCCTTCTGCTTTTTAGCTTCTGAGTTAGCGTTGTAGCTCTCCCTCATGGCCTCTTTCTTTTCCTCACACTTTAGAGCATATTCCTTTCGGCGAACGCTCAGAGTTTTTCTCATAAAAATCCCTCTGTGTTTCTCTTCTTGCATCATTGAGTCTCATTTGAGGCCTTTTCCTTGTTTTCTTGGTAGTAAGCTCTCTGGTAAGCTTTCCTTTTCTTACTCGTCAACGGCATCTTGCCAAACACGTGCAGGAGCTATAAGAATAGCTAGTCCGCAAATGGAACAGACCTCTATCAAGCACGTTAAAATGCAGCTACTCAGAAATATGTACAGTCTGTAATAAGACAAGCTCGCTTCACGGTCGAATTGCACGGTAATACAACCTGCCCGAGAAGTAAGCCGGTCTTGTATTGGGACTGACTTTGTTGAAGCCCAGTCTCCTGTCGATGTTCCAGAACAGTCTAAAACAACACCCCAAGAGCTTTTTGGCTTCGGAAGGATGAACTTGCCACAACGAACAACAGCTCTCTGCTGCTCTATCTTGCAAGTGAGCGAGCGGCTGCTTCGGCTGCGTAGGTAACGGTCTGGCACCCCTTCCGTGCGCGCATGCGCAATATTGGTATGCTACGCGGTATACGTTGCGGCGTACGCGGAAACAAAGAAAAAGTGCCTGAGGCCATTTGTTGTTGTTTACAAACAACTTGTTGAGTAATACGCATTTTGTACCAAGTGTCCAAGTTTAACCTCAATGTATTCTACTAGAATACAAGAAGAGGCGTGTGCGGAAAGAAAGAAAAAGTGCCTGAGGCTATTTGTTGTTGTGGTCGTCATGGAAACGATGTTACACACATGCGTACCAAGTACCTTTAGTAAGTTTGAGGAGTGAAGACGTAAAGAAGTAATTTTAGAGAAAAGTGCCTGAGGCTATTTGTTGTTGTTTACAAACATGTATTGTTGTAATTTTGATGTTGGTGATTGAATACATTATACTGACACATGTGATCCCATTATAATGTATTGCCTGGGGCTTTTTGTTGTTGTTTACAAAGAAATAAGTATGACCATTCTCTTCGGGTGATGGATATCTACATTCTTACAAAATTTATTACTTTATGTTGTTTCGTTTCTGAGTTATGGGTGTTGAATCTGAAGAAGGAGAAGAAGGAGAAGAAGATGAACAAAACTCCCTATCCTAGTCCCATACATCTATGATGCTAGGTACCATGCCAATCCCACATGCTGATTGGTAAATGTTGTCACTAATTGCATTCCATAGCTAAATAAAGCACTATAGTGTAAACCCTCGGCGCACTGTACACAAGAGCATATGCATATGCACGCCATACACTCTTGAAGGCAGTGCTTTTACGAAATTCGCCAAATTTAGAATCAAGCCAGTATCGCTATTTTGTTGTCTCGTTGAGCGTGAAAATGTGGTAACACACACACAGACAGACTGACAGACAGGCACAAAAACTAACGAACCAAGTAGCGTAAACTGCCAATTATCGTACTCTACCTATTATCGGCAAAGCACAACGCGCAAAGAGCACGTCTAATTTACATTCAGTGTGCGGTGAAGTATACGGAGAACGACACGTCGTTTTTTTCGGCCCTTGTTTGCACTCGGTTTTTCTCAGTTTCTTTGCTCCTACGGGTGAGTTACCTCAAAACTGAGAGTGGAAAAACCTGCATAAACTGATTATTCTCCTTATCTAGCCTAACTGACCAAAATGCCCCGCAGAAGGAAGTCCTTCGCCATTCGAAAACGATTGCATTCTGCTCCTGCTTCTGTGCGTCTTCCACCGTCCAAGAGAAAGCAGTGGACCGAAGAGAATATGCTGTTAGCTCTCAAGGCAGTCGAAGAAGGTGTGTCTGTCAGTAAAGCGGCACGGGATTTCGACGTACCTAGGAGTACCTTATACAACAGCGTTAGCGGAAGAGTTGTCCACGGTGTAAAGCCAGGCCCCGAACCGTACCTCAGTCAGAGGAAAAAGAGCTAGGTGGCTACCTAAAGCACTGTGCCAAAGTTGGGTATGGAAAAACAAGGAGGGATGTGCTCTGTATTGTCGAATCTGCTGTCAACGAGAGTGGTAAACTGCGGTCCAGCCATGTGTCTGATAGCTGGTGGAGACGATTCAAGGAGCGTCAGGGTGACTTGTTGTTGCGGCAGGGGGACAGCACTGCTCACGTCCGGATGGACGCCATGAACCAGGAGACAATTGACCACTACTTTGTGCCACTGCGCGAGACATTGACAACACATGGCCTTCTGAACAAGCCCTCGCAGATCTACAACGTCGACGAAACTGGTGTCCCTCTTAATCCACGCCCACCAAAGATCGTCACAACCAAGGGAAGAGTAACAAAGAAGGTATGGTACCATACCTCTGGGCGTAAAGGGCAGGTGACTGTGGTCGGGTGTGCCAATGCTATACCTCCTATGATCATATATGATGCAGCGAGGTTAAACCCTGCATGGACCAGAGATGTGGTGCCTGGCACAAAATATGGCCTTAGCTCTAACGGATGGATCAACACAGACCTTTTCGAGGCCTTGTTTCATGAGCATTTCCTTAAACGTGTAGTCCGCGTATAAAAAGAAGCGTGCCAGGCAAAAATCGATTAACTTTAGCGCACACCGTGACAAAATGGCGGTGTTTAAACTACTGTCTCTTCTCTTCCTGAGCCGCTGGCTACCACGCATCCGTTTCCACGCACTAAAACACGCTGCGTTTTGTCCTAATAAAAGCCTCTCAATGCTGAATCAGCGCTTCTTGCACATGAATGCGCAGAACAGCGCTTCTTGCGATACTCGCACATGAATGTCTGCACCTCCAGCGGCCAAGAAACCGAGGGCTGGCGGCCCACATTTGACTCTCCAGCTAACGTTTGGCAACACTGACACGATAGGAGCGATCAAGGAGCAAATGGAAGCTCTAAAGTCCGCTCTCGTTCCTGCGGGAGCACCTCCATTGAAGCCGGTCGAGCTAATGGCGAAGCTCTTTGACATAGCTGATATTTTAGCTGATTATCTTGTTCTTTCCATCAGCAGAGTCCTGAGCAACTAGCCCTAGCCCTAGCCCTCAGCAGAGTCCTGAGGAACATCCTTGGAGGGAGACTGAACCATACAGCCAGCACTTCACTATACGTATTATATACACGTGTCACGCGCGTGCACGCATTTTATTACCAATCCGTGTTACGCACCGCAGCTATGTTGTTCCAGCGTTGCGCTAGCGGTACAAACAAAGGCTCCATACACTTGCCTTCTGGTGGTACGTTTTTGAATTTTACCACCACCATGTTTGTGCCAGGCAGCCCGCCCCCTTTTATACGCATGCGCACGGAATCGACTCCGCCTCTGCATTGCGCGAGCTGTGAGCGCGCAAGTTCTGCTAGAGGCGCTTAGCAGATATTTTATCCGCGGACTTCACGTTTAAGAACGCAGTATCAGCACGTCCACTGTTCCTATTGCTTGACGGTCACAGCACACACTACCAACCACAAGTAATCCGTCTTGCAGTGGAGCACAACTGCATGTGACTGCCTCCTCACACGACTCATGAAGCTCAATCCCTTGATGTCGGTCTGTTCGCTCCGTTAAAGGTGCAGTGGACTAGAGTGTGCGCATGAATTCTATCAGCAAAACCCTGGCAGTGTGGTGAACAAAATAAATCTCACGCCTCTTCTCTCAAGCCTGGTGTCGAGCTGTGACACCTGTAACATAATGGGTGGGTTTGAAGAGCCGGTTTCTATCGTTGACCAAATGTCGCGCTCTCACAGGACGACGTAAACTCACGCATGTTTGGAACCTTCCCTGGTGCCCCGGGTCTCAGAACATCGTCCAGTAATACCCCTAACTACGCTGCCTTGGTGTGCAATGTAGACTACGACCGTTACCACCAACACACCCTACGTCCTGCTCCCATACACCGCCACCACCCCAGAGGCCATGCTTCTGACTCCACACACAGACTTCTTAAACCAAAATTCCATGTTCCTGCCTGCCAGCTCGGCTCACGAACACACATTCCACAGCTGTAGCTCAGCTGGAAAACTTACCTGCTGAGAGACGTTGAGTTGTAATGAGGCGGTTTGACGACCCCTGATCCGGTCTACAGGCATGGTGGAATTACATCATCATCCCGGACACTGCTCCTACATCAACTTCTTCGCCTTTGACCTCAAAGGACAGAGCATTCACTCTCTGAACAGTTTTCATAGCCATCGTCACACAATCCCCTGTGACGTTGGAGGTTTGTCTACTCCGGTATCTTCCGTCTGCCTGCATCTAGTGGCGTGTCTTCCTCTGCCCAGCGTCTTGTGGTGCAGTCCTTCCTCTCCTCAACCTCGTAACCCATTTGTCCACATCTCCCTCTCTGCGCAACCAGCTCAAGTAAAGAGAAGGCACCGTGCTCTTCCAAGTTTGACTTAGTAGCACCAGCACGGACTTTCAACACGTTGTGAACCAAGAAGCACCGCGCTCACGTAAGCACGTTTACTGACAGCACTGGGGTGTTGGAGATGGTACATACAGAAAAAAGACTACAAACACGGAGTAGCATAGTTGATAAGACTAGGAACAAAAGGAGAGTCGTGACCATCAACGCAAGGAGAGGAAACCGAAAACGCTATCATACGACGACTAGCAGATAGAGCGGTAGACGAAAGCCAAGACAGTCGACAAAAAGCAGCTACAAAGAAGGAAATGCCTGCAACAAAAGAGACGATTGTCAAACGAACACCACCGTAATCATACACCACACCTCCACAAAGAGCACATAGACTATCAGCAACAGCCACCAACTAAGAAGCAGCGAGTTGCAGATGAGCCATTGACGACAGTCGGTGCTGTGTATGTTTCATAACATATGAAGATGACGTTCTGAACAAGACAGGAAAGGACTGGGTTGCCTGTCTTCACGAGGAGTGTATGGAGGACTGTTTTGGATAGCACTGGAAAAGAAAGGCTATGCCCATTGTGTATTGATTAATTTGCTGAATGACATGTTTTCCCCACAAAGTTTCATTGTTTTTACAACATACAATGCACAAACTACGTTATCTGTAGTGCATAAAACGTACTATTTATTGCGCAGCACCTTTTACTGCTCGCCAAATAGTGAGTGCCGATATTCGGTATGGGAGAAATGTATTGGAAGCCGATAATACGTACAGCATTCCGATAAACGGTATACTGAAGACAGCGCTTAGCGCTTACATTATTATGCGTTTAGGGGCGCTTAGAATAGTTGGCGTTATTTAGAAACAAGTTATCGTTGTCCAGGAAAAAGAACCGGTTTCAAAGGAGGTTCTAGTGCTGCACAACACTGTCAGGTACACTAGCCTGTCGATAATTGCCAGCGTACGCTACCGTAATCCTCGCTGTGCATGTACGTCGAGGGTTAACTAGAGCGTTTAACTCTGCCCCATCAGTTGTAACTATTATAACTTGTTCGCCTCCTCTAGTGAAGATGAGAGAGAGAGAGAATCTCTTTAGCCAAGGAATCTATGTCTAACACTCTCATGTTTGGTGTGTGTCATGAGAGAGAGTCTGTATTCCACTAGCACCTTACAGAGACAGGTGTTTGTTGTCTGTTTTGCAGGTCCTGTAACTCAGACTCTCTCCTCCAGACATGTAGTGTAGCTCCTTTCCCACTGTCTCAGTTTCCATTCTCTCCACCAGAATGGAGACTCTGCAGTTATCAATGCTGTAGTAGGTTATGAACCAGCCACTCTGAGGGAGCTAGTGAGGGCAGGGAGTGACCTCAACCTCCAGAACCAGGTGAGATACACAGTTACTGTGGACACTGCACCACATATCATCCCCAGTCCTCCATATTAGGCGGGACTCACTCCACTAATTATAGCTGCCAGGAGTGGAAGAACTGACATTACTAGTATTCTACTGGAGGGAGAACACATCAACCTGGACATTCAGGAGAATGTGAGTAGACCTAGGCTACTAGCCTTGGCTTCCCTATTCACACTCAGTACACCATTTACAGGAATAAGGGGTGTCAGCTTAGTGCAAACATAGAACATCAGTGTACAAATAAGTTAGGAGACACAGAGTAAGCAACTTATAGGCTGGCTGAGTGCTTTCTTGTTCTCGAGGAATGTGGGTTTGTAGTTCAATATGCCATTTACAGGAATGAGGGCGGTTGTTGTGTATTGTGCATTTTTACCCTCGGCGCGCATGCGCAGCGAGGGTACAGTAGTTGGGTCTGTCTGTTTGTCTGTCTGTATGTTACTCTATATCTCACTTCTCGAACGTCTGTTCGTCCCAGAAACGATACCATCTACCCAACGGGCGACAAAGGTCAGAAAATAAAGGCGATTTTCTCTGAAATGCTCCGTTGCAAAGCTAGAGCCACGAAAAAGCCAATATGCAAATCGCAACGGACGGGACGGCTTGTACCGCGTCTGATCGATCCACGTCTCTGCGACCTCGAGGCACCAGAAAATACAACGTAGGGCGTGTATCGCCTCTCGCATGCTGTCTAGTAGTGTAGTTAGCCCGCGTCAGACTCTGCGCGAGATGGCTAAAGACCGGAGTAACAGCCAGAACTAAACCCAGCCCATCAATTAGTGATACAGCGCATGCATTTACACACTCGTGCGCGTCACAATGCGCCGAGGGTTTGCACTTCAGTGCTTTTCATAGTTATGATAGTTTGCGTATTAACCTCGGCGCGCATGCGCAGCGAGGGTTACAGTACTTGTCTGTCCGTCTGTCCGTCCGTCCACATTTTCTGCCACCACCGTCGCGACAAACAGGTAAATAGAGCGACACCAACGGGTTCAGCGCTACACACCGCTTCATTTTTTAAATGCCGATTTTGTAAAAGTGCCGCGTTCAGAAGTTATGGCATGAAAAACCAAGTGAACAAGCCAATATGCAAATTAGCACAGGCTTACCACCTCGACCGGTCCGCTTGCTCTGTGTACTTGGAGGCACAAGAAGTCACAACGAAGGGCGTTTATCGACTCCTGCATGCTATCTACTACTGTAGCTAGCCCGTGTCAGACTCTTCTCGAGCTACTCCGCAAGTAAACGCATAATACAAAATAGCCCAGCCCATCAATTTAGCGGTACCGCGCATGCGCAGTTCGCCGAGGGTTTGCACTTTAGTGCTTTTCATTCAGGTATGAGTCATCCTATGTCATTCATTGCCATGTGTGAGTATATAAGGCATGTACACTAGCTAGAGGCCATTGACCGATCTTGTACTGAGCTCAATAAAGAGATTATGATTTTGCTAATACTCTCAACCTCTCGTGCGTGCTGCCCTATCGTGAAGGACACGCACGACAACATCCACCTACTGCTGCACCGATGCCAGCAGTCTCCCTACTCGGAGTCATCGGTCCGTTCGGCCCCACTCAGGAGGAATGGCGAGAATACGCGGATAAATTGGTCCACAACTTCGTCGCGAACAACATAGCTTCCGAAGGGAAACAGCATGCGATTCTGCTCACCGCCATGGGACCGGGAACCTACCGTCTCCTGAAGACTCTAGCGTCCCCGAAGAAGCTGGACGAACTGACAGTCACCCAGCTAGTCGACTTGGCGTCCAAGCACTACAACCCGAAGCCGTCTCCCATCGTCAAACGTTTCAAGTTCAACTGCCGCTCACAGCGGGAAGGAGAGACAATAGCAGTGTACGTCGCAGAACTGCGCAAGATCGCGGATCATTGTGATTATGGGGAAGTGTTGAGCGACATGCTGCGGGGATACACAGGTCTGCGGAACGAACAACAAGGCAATTCAGAGGAGGCCATTGTTAAAGGCCGACCTTACGTTCGCAGACGCCATGGATATGGCCCTGGCAGCTGAGGCTGCAGAGAGAGATTCCCTACGTGTCACTGGCGCGTTCGCAGATAAGAATCGCGCCACTCCCGTGCAAACACCACCCGCTCTCCAGACGCCTGTCTACAGAATGGACCAGCGTAAACAACGGTACAATGCCCCAAAACCAAGCCCTTGTCCACCTGGCAAAACAAGTTGCTACAGGTGTGGTGGGAACCACAAACCCAACACCTGCCCGTGTAAGGAGTTTGTGTGCCACTTTTGCAAAAAGAAGAGTCACCTAGCCAAGGTCTGTCGAATAAGGGAGAAGAGCACTCCGGAGCAGGCTCACTCGGTGAACGATCAACAGATAGTTCCACAGGACTTCCCAGAGGAGTACCTAATGCATCATGTTAGCGCAGGTCTGACTAGACCCTACCATGTATATTTCACGTTAAAAGGTAGTCCTGTCAGGATGGAGATTGACACAGGAGCGTCCATCTCAGTGGTTGGGGAGGGGATCTTCAAGGCAATCCAGAGGGGAGAGCAGCCCCTGGAGCTTCAGAAGACCTCAATCAGGTTACAAACATACACTGGAGGCAAGATTCCTGTGCGAGGTTCTGTTCGTGTGCCGGTGGAGCACAATGGCCAGAATCAGACATTGCCACTGATTGTCACCGAGGGAGAGGGAGCTTCTCTCATCGGCCGTGACTGGTTGTCTACCTTGCGCCTCGACTGGCAGGTGATCCTCACAGTCGAACAGAACTTGTCCCTGAAACAAGTACTCGACAAACACAGCAGTGTCTTCAAAGAGGGACTCGGCAAACTCCGAGATGTCGAAGCCAAGATCTACATCGCACAGAACGGACGTCCACGATTCCGTAAACCGTATCAAGTCTCCTTTGCACTGCGTCAGAAAGTAGAGGAGGAGCTGGAGCGTCTTCAAACGCTGGATGTGATCCAGCCAGTGCAGTTCTCGGACTGGGCGGCGCCTATCGTCCCAATCATGAAGAATTGATGGCCGTGTGAGAATTTGCGGGGACTACAAAGTCACTGTTAACCAGGCAGCGAAGTTAGAGAAGTACCCTCTAACCCGCATTGAGGAGCTGTTTGCATCTCTGGCGGGTGGAAAGCTCTTCACCCCACTAGACCTCTCACACGCCTACGTCCAAATTCCACTTGACAAACACTCTCGTCGTTTCGTCACCATCAACACCCACAAGGGTCTCTTTGAGTATAAGAGACTCCCGTTTGGTGTCGCCTCGGCGCCATCGATATTTCAGCGCGTCATGGAGAACTCCTGATTCTGATGCTCCTCAGTCATCTTCCGCCCCAGTCTCTGATCAATGACTAGGCATCTCCCTGTGTTACCAAAATTCACGCAGTCTCGTCAACAAACTCTCTAGATTCCAATCTTTAGTGTACTCATCCACCTTTGAAGTGATTTGCATTACAGAAACTTGGCTGACTCATTTCATCTACGATAAAGAGATTCTTCCTAAAGGTTACACCCTGTATCGTAAAGACAGAGAGTCTCGTGGAGGCGGTGTCCTCATAGCAGTGAACGATCATCTTCCCAGTGTCCTCTTTCCCTCCCCTCCGGACCTAGAAGTTGTCACCGTACGACTCTGTCCTCCACGCAGTACTATCTCCATTTGTGCTGTTTACATACCCCCAAATCCTGACGTCCTATACACCGAGCGGTTGATTGCTTTCCTGAATTTTCTATCTACTAATGAAACATCTCTCATTATCATTGGGGATTTCAACCAACCTGACATATGCTGGGCCTCCCTCTCCGGCACTTCGTTAGTCTTCAAACCTCTTCTGCGACTTTGTATTTGAAAAGAACCTGTCTCAGCTTATCACTTGTCCTACCCACATCAAAGGCAACACACTAGACATTCTCCTGACTAATGATGAGCAACTTGTCGACAACCTTTCCGTGTCTAAGTGTTCCTCTTCCCTGCCTTCTGATCATTACCTTATCTCCTTCAACATACCTCTCACCTGCTCCTCAACCAAGAACCACGAAGCCTTGGTCGTGTACGATTATGCCAATGCTGACTACGAAGGACTATGTGACTCTCTACTTGAAACTGATTTCAGCCCCTGCTTCCAATCCAATTGCATAGAATTCGTTTGGTCTTTCATAAAGTGCACCATTCTTCATGCTATGGACTTGTTCATCCCAAAAGTGCGAGTCAAATCCTCACCCAATCCAAAATGGTTTAATCCTGCGATTCGTCACACAATCAAATGCCTGCGCACTCATAGGAGAAAATGTCATTTGCATCCAACTCCTCACAATCTTTCTAAACTTCAATCTCTTCTATCTCAACTAAAAGATCAAACTTCCACAGCAAAATTGCATTATGAACAAGATTTAGCCATGGACCATCCCAACAAGATCTTCAAGTACATCAAAAGTCTCACCTCAGCTCCTCCAGTGCCTCCGATTGTCTCCTTTGACTCTTCCACTGCCTCCACCGACAGTGAGAAGGTCCTCTTGTTCAACAAGTTTTTCTACTCTGTTTTTACGCTGAGTGCCTACCAAATTCCTCCTCTGCACGATTCAGCATCACCCACCCCTACGCTTTCTGATATTGGTATCTCAGAATCCGATGTGTTTGAAGCCTTGTGCTCACTGGATACATCTAAAGCCGTTGGAATCGACAGTATCGGTCCTAATGTTCTTCATCACTGTGCACTTGCTCTCTACAAACCTCTCCATCACCTATTCCTACTTAGCCTTTCCCACTCCCACATTCCTGCAGAATGGCGTACACACTTGATCATTCCGGTCTTCAAGTCTGGTGACAAATCATCTGTTTGTAACTACCGTCCAATCTCCCTTCTATGTTCTGTTTCAAAACTTCTGGAAAAACTTATCTATGATAAAATAATCCACTTTGTTTCTGCCTCAATTTCTTCATCCCAGTTTGGGTTCCGCCCTAATCACTCCACAATTCAGCAACTACTCATCTTCCTCAATTCCATCCAAGATTCTTTAAACTCAAACTGCCAAGCTGATGTTATATACCTCGACTTCAAAAAAGCTTTTGACAGTGTTTCTCACAATGAACTGCTAGCTAAGCTCTGGACTTTCGGAATTACTGGTAATCTGTGGAGGTGGTTCAAGGCTTACCTTTCACATCGATCCCAACATGTGAAATTCAATCACTGCATCTCTGACCCTCTTCCGGTTATTTCTGGTGTGCCTCAAGGCAGTATTCTCGGCCCTCTTCTCTTCTTGATTTTTGTTAATGATCTCCCTTCATCTACTAAATCTTCAAATGTTTTTCTCTTTGCGGATGATACAAAATGCCTAAAGAAAATCTCCTCTCAAACTGACTGTCATTTACTACAAGAAGACCTCCTCTGTTTATCTAATTGGAGCCAAAGGTGGAACCTCAAGTTCAACGAAAGGAAATGTGTGCTACTCCGATTCTGCCTCAGTACACCCCACATCCTCTTTGATTACTCCTTAAACAACATGCCAATCCAAGTTGTTGACTGCCATCGTGACCTAGGCATCCTAATGTCTTGTGATCTCAAATGGTGCCACCACCTTAACTTTATATCCTCCCGAGCCTACAAAATTCTAGGTCTCATCAGGCGTTCCTTCTCAATCTCTGACCCTCTTCTGGTAATTTCTGGTGTGCCTCAAGGCAGTATTCTCGGCCCTCTTCTCTTCTTGATTTTTGTTAATGATCTCCCTTCCTCCACTAAATCCTCAAATGTTTTTCTCTTTGCGGATGACACAAAATGCCTGAAGAAAATGTCCTCTCTAACTGATTGTCATTTACTCCAAGAAGACCTCCTCTGTTTATCTAATTGGAGCCACAAGTGGAACCTCCAGTTCAACGAAAGGAAATGTGTGCTACTCAGATTCTGCCTCAGTTCACCTCGCATCTATTTGATTACTCCTTAAACAGCATGCCAATCCAAGTCGTTGACTGCCATCGTGACCTCGGCATCCTAATGTCCTGTGATCTTAAATGGTGCCACCACCTTAACTTTATATCCTCTCGAGCCTACAAAATTCTAGGTCTCATTAGGCGTTCCTTCTCATCCAGGTTACCTCTCTCATCTGAGAAGAAACTCTATCTCTCTCTCGTCCGCTCTCACTACTATGCTTCGCAGATGTGGAGACCCAACCTTCTAAAGGATATTTCTGCACTTGAAACGTATGTCAACGTCGAGCTACAAGTACATCCTAATGACTTCACTCTAACTATAGATGATTCTTGATCTACTTTCACTTGAGCA